GAAGGCTTTGAAATGCCCATCATGACTGAGCATTTTGAGAGAAAATTTGTTTCTCATAATTTTAAGTGACCAAATTGCAAGTCTCTGCAACTTATGTGAGAAAATGAAGACACTCCCCTCCACCACGACTCAATACAATTTTCGGACTCCCCTACAAATGCTGTTTGTCAACTAGTTTCTAACATTTGCAACTTATTGAGATACTTTACGTTTCCTAAATATGCTTGAATTTTGATTTACAAAGTATTAGAGTCACCATTAAAAGCTTATTAAACTAGTGTGTGAACCTATTAATGCTGCTGTGATACCTGAATTTCCCCTTGGCGGGACAATAAAGACTTTTCTATTCTATTCTATTCTATTCTATTCTATTCTATTCTATTCTGTTCTGTATTAGAGGTTATGATAGCTTGGTGGTCAGTCAGGGGCAGTTCTAGGGGCGGGGCTACAGGGGTATTGGCCCCTGCTGAAATTTGATTGGTGCCTTGAGGTACCCCTGTCCTGTCACTCATCTGTCCTTTGCCCAAGAGGGATGATGCTGGGTGCAGTTCCATGTCCAAACACTAGAGGTGCTAATGAGACCAATAGAAAAGTCCAGCATGAATCAAGCTGACAGAAGTCTTTTTTTCTTTTCTTAAAATTTGAACAATCCTGCATAAAAAGTCTTTCAACTCACAAATTATGGATTCTCTCACATGCTGTGTGTTTGAGAGTATTTTATCTATGTAYTGTAAAAATGCATGTGAAATTTATAAGGAGAATGTATTGTGCAAGCTTTTTAAAAAAAATACAAGTATTTAAGTGTGTGACTGGTTAAATATATACACCTTAACAAAGCCAGAGATTTTTGTGCAAGGATGCTGAACAAATACTTGGCCCCTCCATGAATATTGTGGCCACTTGATGGCCCCTTGCTCAGAAAAAATCACAGATTTGCCACCTGGCCCTGTCTCCCGAAACTGCAGGTTTGAGTCCAGGTAGGGCATTCAGCAAAAAAACAAATGCTTTGTGTATGTCTGCTGTGCTGACCCCTGAAGCATTGTGGGTTKTGTTGCTTAACCTGATAGATGAAAACACACTACCGTCTGGTCTAACTATTGTGGAAGACAGTCTTGTATTTAAGGTGTTTCCAAGGATCATTAAATCATATAACTCTTAAAGTTGTTTTCTCCTGCCTTTAAGTGGGACCCTTTTAAAAAATATTTTTTCCCAATGASTATAAATATTTTTATAATCCAGTTTCACATTAAGAACAGACTAAAATGTTTTAAGATTAAACAAATTTACAATCTAATTACATGATTTCAAAGTGACCTACATTTTAACCAAAAGGAGAAGAATAAAAAGTAAAATGTATTCTTTTCTCAAGGTTTTAGCAGATATATAGAAAACTATCTGTGCAAACTATCTGTGTGCTGAAAAGCCTGGCGTCTGACTGGGAGAAGCAGCCTACGTGATCTCCCCACCTTCCTCCCTATCTGGATTCTCCACGCACATCTGGCTTTTCATTCCTTTCCAATACTGTCATGTTTAGGAAAGTATTTTAGCTACAGCACAGATATTGGAAACAAATACAAAAAACCTCCATAAATATATCAGATTTCCTTCTGGCCTCATAATTATTTTTTATGATGCTCATATTTTAAATGCTAAATGTTTTTCACGGCAGCCTGGTATCATTGAAAAACAAAGTGTTAAATATTGTTCTATATTTTTGCTCATCTGCTGATCTGACCTCAACAGTTCTGCTTGTCTGAAACTTTACTACCCGCTGACTCAAGCAGTTCGGGGGAAACTCAGAGGAAGTTTAGCAGGGTGTGTGTTTGTGTGTGTGTGTGTGTGTGTGTGTGTGTGTGTGTGTGTGTG